CAATGTGCAAGTGGTTTGGATATGTCCGAGTAAACTCGCACTTTTTCAGGCGAGAGTACAAATGCAAGCTGATTCGGACTTATTCACCGTATAGTAAGAAATTAGGTTCCTGGTTGGAATAATCGCGAATACATTCGCACTTACAACGAGCATTTCGATTTCGAAACTGAGGATGTAAGTGCGAGTCAATTCGGTCTTATCCACTAAACAACAAGAAATTTAGGAGCGTGGTTAGTTCAAGTGCCAATAAATTCGCACTTCAAACGAGCATTTCAATTACGCCGTGCAATAAGAAATTACCTTCGTGGTTGGTTCAGTGACGAGTTAACTCACAAATAGAAAATGACTTCATTTTTTTTGGCCGACAAGAGACGTGGCTTTACTGCTCGAGTGCTTCGATTTCGAGACTGTGAGTACAAGTGCGAGTTAATTCTGACTTATCGACTAAAGAGTATCAAATTTAGGGGGATTGTTGGTTGAAGAGCGAATAAATTTGCACTTGCAAATGAGCATTTCCATTACGGAACTGGGGGTACAAGTGCGAGTTAATTCTGACTTATCGACTAAACAGTAACAAATTTGGGGGCCTTGTTGGTTCAAGAGCGAATAAATTCGCACTTGCAAACGAGCATTTCCATTACGAAACTGTGGGTACAAGTGCGAGTTGTTTTCGGCTTGTTCTGCGTGTAGTACGAACCACATATCGTCGCAAGAGAGAAATGGGGAAAGATGGCGTAGTATTTTTTAAGATGGAGAAAGATTGTGAAGCGATGGGCGATGAAAATAAATGGAGAGAGATCGCACACCGATTGAGAGAGATGGCGCACCAAGAGAGATGGATGGAGTTACAGTCTTCCCCCAAATACAACGTCCGGTCATTACAGCTGAATTCGGGGCATCTTTCTGTCTAAAGAGAACTATAATGAACGTGCGTTGTATATTCCGGTGAAAAAGGTAGATGGCGCAGGAAGGGAAAGAGATCGCGAACTGATTGAGAGAGATGCCACAGCGAGGGAGAGAGATTGCGCACCGATGGAGAAAGATTGCGCGGCAATAGAGATAGCAGGCGCAACGATGGTTAGCAATGGCACTGCAATAGTGAAAGAATGCGCAACGAAGGAGAGAGAAGGACATAGATAGCGTGGCGATGGAGATAGATTGGGAAAAATAGCGCAGCGATGGAGATAGATGAAGAAAGGTCGGGAGAGATCGCGCACCGGTGGAGAGAGATGGAGAGAGGACGCACAACAATGGTTAGCGATGCCGCACCGATGGAGAGAGCAGGCACAACGATGGTTAGCGATGGCGCACCGGTGGAGAGAGTTGGCGCAGCGATGACCAAGATTAGTTATTGCACAACATCAGTTCCATTATCAAAGTCACATCACTTGTTGAGCCTTCGTTAAGCATACCTGTCACTTGTTTCATGGGATTCCATAGTGACGGGCGTCTGCACCGATGGCGGTCTGAAACAACAATACGATGGCAATGGCGGGATCGCTCAGGAGCGATGGAGAGCATCTGGCGCAGGGATGGAGGTTGCCCGGTGGTCGAGAGAGATCGCGCAGTGATGGAGAGTGATCACTCAACGATGGAGGGAGATCGCGCGGCGATGGAGAGAGATCGCGCAGGAGCGATGAAGAGAAATCACGCAGCGATGGAGAAGAGATCGCGAAGGCCCGAAGGTGCCCAACGAATCAGCGATAGCGATGGCCAGTGCTGCGATGGGATAACACTGGCCAGGGCTTCGATAGCGATGGCCAACGCTGCGGCGGAGAGCGATTGCGCACCAATGGAGAGAGATGGCGTAACGATGAGAAAGATGGCGCAGCGATGGAACGGGTTACAATGGTCATCGCTGTGATGGCAGCGATAGCGATTGTCAACGTTGCGATGGCCAGGCGAGCGAGACGGGTGCGATAGGGGATGGCCAACAATGCGGTGGAGAGCGATGGCAAGTGGAGTGGAGAGACATGGAGTATCGATGAGAAAGATGGCGCAGCGATGGAACCCATTACAATGGTCAGCGCTGCGATGGCAGCGATAACGATGGCCAGCGCTACGATGAGAGCGATAGCGACGGGGGAAATGGCTTTGCGTCGCGATAGGGGATATAGTAGCTTTGCGTTGCGATGGGGGATATAGCTTTGCGTCGCGATGGTAGGGCGAGCGCGACAGCTGCGATGGGTGATATAGCTTTGCGTCGTGATGGCGATGAGCTAAGCGCATCGATGGCGATGGTGCATGGCAAGCATTGGAATGGATTGAGGACTTCGTATATCCAACACCGTTGACATTTGCAAAATATCCCAATGACTGCGACACCGAAACTTATACATTTTCGGAGTTTTTGACCTCAGCGCACAACGAATCGCCGCACCTCGGCGCACAATGAACCGTCGCCTGGCCTCGGCGCGCCACGAACCGCCTCGCCGGATTCCTGTGCCTGACCTTGTGCGTCGGATCATGCCGATCGACGGTCCAGACTACAACTGCGAAAATGACCTTACCTGCCCCTTGTTTTCTGGAACTGTCATATCATTGCACGCCAGAGTTGACGAAGATTTAAGGGCCTCTGGCATGTCAGTGGCTCCATTCATCTGCGCTGGTCAAAATTGTTGATCGACGGCCGACAATTTATGGTACCTCTAACCTTTCGAGGCCCAAGCTGCCCTTACCCGTCTATAGGGTCTGGCATCTTATGGGCCCAGGCGTGCGATATGCGAATCGATACGGCCCCACCTTGATCCCGACGCGATGCCTGGTTCAGGAAAGTATAAAAGGCGTTGCCGCCCTCATGTTATCCCTTTTGTTGCCGCTCCACAAGTCAAGTCACGCTATCGCTTCCGCGCGCGTTCTGATATTTTGTCTTCAGCCCCCACCTCCTTCCGCCATAGCCCGTTCGCTCTTCGCTCTTCGCTCCGTCCACAGTTGCCGCATCGTGTTCGCTTCGCTCTCTGTAGCTCGCTCTTCGTGGCTAGATTTCTATTCGCCATAGCCGGTTTGCTCTTCCTACCTCGATATCCCTCCACCATAGCTGGTTCGGTGGTCGTCCGACGTTGGTCGCTCGCTTTACGCACGACAAAGGTAACATTCTGTAACTTCGGTTGTCATATTCTGTGTCCTATGTACGAACAGATTCCCAGATGCCCTGTTTGTACCTGCAGGATATAACGCCGCAGTTGCCGCATGTGGAACCCCGAATCAATTCCCGTTTTGTTGTTCGCCAGCGGACGTGTTCTGATGTCTTTTCTCCGCCCTCCACCTCCGTCCGCCATAGCCGATTCGCGTTTCGTAGCTCGATTACCTTTCGCCATAGCCATGGTAACGTTTGTATAAAGTTGCTCGATTCCTGCAACTTATAGTCGTCACTGCACATGGCGAACCCCGAATCAATACCCAGTTTTTGTTGAACACCGAATCAATTCCTGATTTTCGCTCACCTGTCCCTTGTAAGGTCGCCGACCTAACATATATATATACATATATACACATATATATATAAATATAACCGAATCAATTCACAGTTTTGTTCATCCATCCCAGCGAGGTCGGAAGTGATCCACAACTGCGAGTCAGTTCGCAGTTTGCGACCTACACTGCTTGAGGAGTCACAACTGCGAGTTAGTTCGCACTTGTAGACACCCATGTCGTGTGTCTTTCAGGTCTTCATTTCCACGACTCCGAGTTAGTTCGCACTTTCCCCAAGATAAGCCGCCTTTTGTTAAACGTGACTTTCGCGTTTCTAGGACTGCGGGTTGTAATTGTTGTCTTGTCTCCAGAACTGCGAGTTAGTTCGCACTTGTCGATACCCTTCGCACTTGTCGATAAACCACATCTCACTCGTTTCGAGGGCAGCGAGTCGGGTCGCAATCTTTCCGAAGAGTTGTTGTCTTCCCTCCGAACTCACTCTGCCAGAGGAGTGTTGTCTTTCCTCAACTTTACCCAATTGTTTTAACTTCGTTTGCATTTCAAACACCAATCTCGTGCGTCGGTTTTCTTCTCCCCATAACTGCGAGTCGGTTCCCGCTTGTCTATATCCATGCGGTACTTTTTGTAGACGACTTCATTCCCAGAACTCCGAGTTAGTTCGCACTTTCCTGAAGATAAATCACCTCTTCCTCGATTAGAGGACAGCGAGTTCGTTCGCACTCTTTCCGTGGAGCTGTTGTCTTCCCTCCGAACTCACTCTGCTAGAGGACTGTTGTCTTTCCTCTCCCTTATCCAATTGTTGTGACTTCGTGTGCATTTCAAACACCCATCTCTTACGTCCTTTTCGTCCTTCATTTCGTCAAGTCCGAGTTAGTTCGCACTTTGCTTCTGTAGTGTTAGAAAAACCTCGTTGCTTTCCTCCCGGTCATCCGATTTGGTCTGAGGTTGGACGTATTAGTCAACGGGTGGGAGTACAATGGCGTCCGCAAAGAACAGATCCACAAGCGCCGGGCCGTCTGCCCCCGGGGAGGGACGACCTCTTCAGCAATCTACTACTTAGTAGCAAGGGAAGCATAATGGTTTTTGGACTTTGTTGTTCATGGGAACCTTGTTGGGCCAGTTGTTTTCATGCGACCCATTTGCGTTCCAGGCGCTGAGGGAGCGACCGACGTTATTCCTGTCAGTACCATCGTCTCGTGCGGCAAGATTCCTGGAGGTATGCTAAAACTGCACACTAACGTCTTCTACGACGAGTGCAGACTGCCTTTGAGAGGTGTTAAGGGTGTGATAGTGGCCATCAAGAGTTTCGCGGGGTACGGCTCGAGCATGACGCTGTGCCCTCACTTCAAAGGGCTTTACGATGGCTCCAGCAAGCGTTTTCCACCGGCAGTGCAATACCTCGATCTCGCGCTGAAGGTGCCGAAAGAACGTCCGGTTCTTCCGCGAGAATATGTTTTTCGGCTTCTGCCAGCCCATGAGGGGTCGTCCGGCTTGGCTCAAGAAACTCCTGAGACGCCAGTGGGCATGGGAGTGCGATTCACGACGCAGAGGGTCGGGGTAAGGGGCACGCGCACAAAATTCGCACGCAGGTCGGCCCGGATGCTACAGGGAACACATCAGACTTGCATTCTCCAGATGCAGGGACTCTCCGGGTCAGTACTCCGAAAATCCTCAAGGTTTGTTGCCAGGGCGACATGTATTCGCTTCGAGATGAGAAAAGAAGAGAATCTGGCAGATCGGGGCAAGAGGTTGGAGGGAATGACGCTGAAGGGATGGGTGATGTACGCGAAAGCTCTGGCGGGGAGCCGACTTCTTCGGAGAAAAAGCGCAAGCGACATAGGATGGTGCGAGAGGAGGTGGCAGAGGAAACCCGCCGCATGGAGAGGATGAAAAGACATTCGGAGCCGATGATGGACGGGGATGGAGGTGACGTCGGAGAACGTGCCTTGGGAAAGAGGGTGCCTGGGATGCATGGCGGACAAGAACATGGAGTCGAAAAAAGGCTGTCAAAGGAAGAGGGTGCGACGACAAGTAAGAAAGCGAGGAGGCCGGACGGTTTGACCATCCGCGAAGGACAAGCTATGGGTGGAGGAGATTCGGCTCATCCAGGCGCTGCCGCCGTGAGAGAGCCTTCGAAGAAATCCAAAAGGAAACTGGCAGCCGAAGAAGGCGATGGCCAGACGAAACCTCGGAGGAGGAAGACTACTGAGGTGGCAAGCGGTGGCGAACGGGTTGTCCGTAGGCAGTTCGACGAAGCGGCGGCGTTCTGGCTCGAATACGAGCGGAACGATGACGGTGAGATCGTGGAGAAGAAGCTCCCTGTGCAACTGGTCATCAACCCCAGGAAGGTCTGTGACATCCCGACTTGGGAAAGATATTACAACCACCGCAGTCTCAGTCACGATAGTGTGGAGGACATCAAGGAAGCGATGCTAAGGCAGTTCCGCGAGGAGAAGGGGAAGATCTGGACGAAGAACCCTTTGGTTCTGGCACCCATCTACAAGCCGGTGACGCGTAGGCCGGAGAAAGATGAGAGGGTTCACAAAGATGTCTTTAAGCCAGAGGACAAGGACAAGTACTTTTATTACCCTGTCCACGGACAACACACCATGGCTGCTGTGAAGGAGTTGGAGGGTGAGCCAATATTCGAATTGTAGAAGATGCACTCGTGGCCGGCGAGAGTAGTCTGGTTCTCCGAAGAGGAATTCGCGGGGTATTTGCAAGTCAGTCGCAAGGAGAACACGAGACACAAGATGTCTAAGCAGCGTGCGCAGAAGGCCGCGTTCCAGGACATGCGGGAGGCATGGGAGAACAATGGAAGGCCGGTGGCCATTCACTGGAACCTTTCCGGCAAGGAGGCCGAAAAACAAACGTATTTCGAATTCCAAAAGCTGCTTTTGGGAAAGAGTCCGAACGACGCTCACTTTACGATGGCAAGCAAAGCGTCAACGCTCGCCGACAAGGAGCAAGTCGCTGCCATTGGCAACGCCTGCGTAGCACGGCGAACGTGTTTGCACCCCTCCATGTTCGCGCGAACGTGTTCGCGCGTTCACGCGAACAGGTCGTGAACATGTTCGTGCAAACAGGTCGTGAACATTTTTTTTTTCGTAAAAAAAATAAAAATAAAAAAATTAATCGGTTTTTGATTTTTAACTCATGATCGGCTGAGAATTTGAACATGACTCCAAGGCAAAAGTTGCTTGTTTTATTATTTTACATAACATATATGTTTTTCAGAATTTTTTGAGAACTTTTTTTTTCTTTTTTAATATTTTTTATCTTCGCGTTCGAAGGGTTTTGGGCGCTTGTTCGCGTTCGGGCGAACATGTTCGAGTTCTCCTCCGAACGCGAACACGGTGCTACGTAGGGCAACGCATTGAGGCAGTGGATGCCGCTCATGACAGTCGGTGATGACGTTTTCCGCAAAGGCATGGAGTTCTACGAAAAATGTGCGGAGGGGAAGTTGTTGGGGGGCGACGGGAAAACGCCACTGTCGAAGCCAGGCAAATACATGCCAGACAAATCTCCGGGTCTTCAAGCAATTCCGGAAATGGGCTCGAAAGGGGCGGCTGGTGAAACGAAGATGGGTGGCTGGTCCAGGTCCCGCCGCCTTCGACCAAAAAGAAAACGCAAGCGGACGACAGGTTTTTCGTGGTCGTGAAGGAACCGGATATGTTCTGTTGGCAGTGTCTCGCCGACATGACCGATGTCGAGAAACTGTCGATCCTCGACGACATTCTCGCACTAAGGGGGGTGTTCATGCAATCGGCGAGCGGGCATCTGAAACGTCAACATAAGCCTGGAATGAAAGACATGGTCGCGACGAGGAAAGTGGACCGCATGATGGTCCGCATGTTCCACTACATCCTGTTCCTTGAAACGGAGGAGGACGAAGGGGTTTGGCGCTACGGGAGCCCTTTTTCTCGGACCGAGGGGCAGCTTCTGGCAGAGTTCGGGGCGCAGGGCCTCACGAAACAGGTGTGGGTCGAACTGCGAAAGCATTTCCAGGGCGCGGTGGAGTACGTGAACACTTGCAAACGTACTCTTCCGCACGAGAAGGAGTCCCTTGACGACACAAAGAGAATGTACGAGGTTGACAGGTTCCCAAAATCTTTCGAAAAGTCCGTTCGTTCTATCTTACGATGGACGGAAGAAGAAGTTCGAGACACGATTAGGGTCAGCGGGGATGTGAAGCACATCAAATGGGACAAGGCGAACCGGGTGACCAGCCTTGTTCCTTTGTGTTGCATGCCGGTCCAAGCTCACAGTCGTCTCGCTGAGATCCGCGAGATTGTGCGACATTACGTGTGCAACCTGTACGTCCTCGATTTGTGTGATCCCACACTCCTCACAGACTGGCGAGAAGACGATTTCGTCAACTTGCAAGGCGTTCTCCAAACATTATCGCCAACGTACTGGGCACTTGTGGTCTTTTTCCCCTCTCGTTGGGATCTCAGTTTCTTAAAGGGAATGGACAGGCTTAGTGTCCATCACGTCGGAACAGGGAAGTGGGTGCGCCATGCACAAAGGCAGGCCACTGTCCGGGAAGGCAATATGTTGGTTGAGGAGTGTGATTGCCTGTACGTGATTTTCAATGGCGAGAACCTGGCAGACAACACAGTCGCAATCTTCCCGGCCAGTAGCCCGACAAAGGTTCCCCGTGCTCATGGTCCAAGTCCGGGCAAACACGCGATGGCGGCACGCTCGAAAGTTGTCTGTTCGTCGGACCCATCAGGACAGGCTGTGGCGTGTTTCGATGTGGCGGGCGACGACAGGTTCCCTCGTAGCCTGTGGAAGGATGGCTGCGTGACAAGTGTTCGTGGACCTGCTTACGGGGACAGGGAGCGGAACCCGTCCCACCTACTTGGTCTACTCGAAAACTTTTGCAGAGTTGGGCAAACTGTTTTTTTCTTTGGGAATGCGCATCCGTCTGTCGTGTGGGAGCTCTTGCGCAACGATCGGAACGTTGTCACGTTGGAGGACAAGGCGAACATGATCGATTACCCTAACGAGTTCGTGAAGACACGCGTGGCAAACACTCGCAATTATTGCTCTTTTGTCCTGACCACCGGCGAACGGAACTGGGATCCTAAACATGACATGTATTGGAAATTGCCGGGGAACAAAAAAACGGAAGTTTGGGACTTCCTTTTCCAACCCGGACCGCTTGCTCAGACCGACCTCGAATACAGTCGACGGAGAAACCTGGTGTTCGATGTGCTGAATGGGTACCACCCAGGGAGTCTGTCTCAAATTTCCTAAGAAGGTTGGAGCACGTTTACTTCTTGATGGCCGAACCGCTCACCCTCGAAAACTACAAGGCGCAATTTGACGAGGACGACCCTTTCGACGCTGAAGACATGGAGGAGTTGAGCGACTCCGAAACCTTCGATTTTGAGTCCATGCCACTTTCTCGGGTGATTGGACAGGTTGGTGATGAAGGGGAAGGTAGTCCTCGGAGATATAGCATGTCCCCTGCCGGTTTGAAGCGTGTGTTTGGGCGCGAAAGAGTCGACGACCAATCGTCTGATGATGGGGAAGAAGAGAAAGACTATGATTACGAACCTTGTGACAAGCTCCCTGGGGACCATGATACCTGGGAGAATGACACACTCTTCTTCTTCGGCAAGCATCACCGGTTCACGTCGGAGAATGTCTAGGGACACAACGTCGTCTGGCACCCGAGGATATTCCAACCTGCTGTGAAGAATGGAAAGTGGGTCATGGCAATGAAGGAAGCCGATGGCAAGTGGAGTGGAATGAACAGACTGGGAGCGGGTCCATTTAAGAAAAAGGCAAGAGGTGCTCTGGTGGAGCATTTGAGGGTTATGAGCCCCGACAGGAGCCTGTCGGACGTCAATGCGAACGACACCATCTCGTGGTATTGACAGGCGCCTACCGCAACCTCCGTCGGGCGGTCAACATCCGGGAAGCGGTGGAGGAGGAGACGAAGGAGACGGCGGAGGTGACAGAGGAGACGGCTCACGATTTCCCGGAAAGGGGACGGGCAAAACATCGTCGGGAGAAAAGGCATTCGGCAGAAAGGGGTCAGTCGGAAAGGGGCTTGGCGGAAAGGGGTCGGCTGAAAAGGGGTCGAGCGGAAAGGGATCGGGCGGGAAGGGGTCGGGCGGGAAGGGGTCAGGCGGAAAGCGTAGAACGTCCGGGAGTCTCCAGTATAGGGAAACTGGCAGCCACTGCATAGGGAGTCGAGATTTCGACATGCGAGACATGGCCACCCTAAGGTCTGATCAAGTGCGAGTAGATTCGCACTTGTCTGCGAGGACTTTGTTTCCCGATGCCGAGGAGAGTCCATCCCGCCGTGCGCAGTAGAGGTCTCCTGTGCACAACACCTTGCTCCTGGAAGAGGGCGAACGTCTGCAGCATACGGCGGCATTTTTATGAGCGGCGAAACCATTCCTTGATGGGAATTGTGTCTTCGTTTTGCCTGGAGGGCGGGATGCCTGCATTGCCAAGGAGCGAAGGTGCGACCGTCAGTTCCTTAAGCTCGGGCGCCACAAATTCCGAATAGATTCGGAGTTGCTGACATCGCCCTGGAGGCCTTCCGCCAGAAGTGCTCCTAACGCTACAGTTCGGCGGGGCCAAGAAAATGTGACGTCCTACCCCCCGCATCTTGAGTTGGGCACAGGGTTCCCCTGCTCACCTCCGTTCCCATATGTACAGACTCGAGACTGGCGGTCTCGCGACGTGCTGGAGGGGCCTGCTGCAAGAGTGTTGGAGACCGGGGGTGGCGAGTACGAACGTCATGCTTCGGAGGGTGTGCCAGTCGACGTTGATAGCAAGAGTACAGCAGCTCCTGGGGAAGAGGAGCGCTCTCCAGGAGCGCATGCTGTACAGCGGGAAGAGGAGACTCAACACTCGCAGTCTCGCAAAGTGTTGGAGACCGGGGGTACCGAGTATGAAAGTCATGCTTCGGAGGGTGCACCCGTGGACACTGACAGAAAGAATACAGCAGCTCTGGGGGAAACGCATGCTCTGCAGCGGGAAGAGGAGACTCAACACTGGCCGGCTCGTGAAGTCGTGAAGGGGCTCGACGTAGGAGAGCTAGTGATCGGGACGTCCGAAGGGGTTCTGCACAGTCGTTCGGCTGTGGACGACGCGAGAGGGTGTAGTTAAGGTAGGTCAGTGGACGTTCGTGGAAGCTCGCCTTCTTGGCGATGAGGAAGGTGAATAAGAATCCATGGTGGAGGCTCGCGTTCATGACGATGAGAAAGGCGGAGAACCCGTGGTGGAAGACGGTGAGGTAACGGTCGACATCCAGCTGGATCCACAGCGGAAAGATGATGATTCTTCGCCCACCCGTTGCGGTGAAGAACAGGGTGATCGAACATCTGTCCTCAGTACCGGTCGGGAAATGGTACTTCATGAAGCCATCGAGTTGGGTAACGACTCGGCTGCCACCGAACTGGTTAGCGACTCAGGCGTGGCCGAGATGCAGAACGTCGAATCCTCTGTGGAAGGCGGTGAGGTGGCCGTTGGCATCAAGATGGATCCAGAGCGGAAAGATCATGATTCGCCATCCACCCGTTGCGGTGCAGAAGAGGGTGATCGAGCGTCTGTCCTCAGTGTCGGTCGGAAAACGGTGCTTCATGAAGCCATCGACTTGCCTAGCGACTCAGCTGCCATCGAGCTGGTTAGCGACACAGCCGTGGCCGAGGTGCAGAACGTCGAATCCTCCGTGAACGTTGGCGCAGTGGTGCGACAGGAGCGCGATTTCCCTCAAAGGGCTCCCGAGCACGGTAAAATTTGTGAATAGGAGCACTCGCATATCTGTCACTAGCCAACTCAGTGTTCGTTCAAATTGATGTGATGGGCTCATGACCTATTACCACTTGTTAAAAAAAAACTTGTGGGCTGTGGGTTGTTTTCTATGTTTTACAGGTGTGAGGTTGTCAATGTCCCTGCCCATGAAGCCCTTAAAAAGCGTGCGCGAGAAATGTCTTTCAGGGAGGTCATTGGCTGCTTAACGAAAGAAGTCGTCAAGTGTAGGGTTGTTTAAAAGGGTCCAGATGCCTCGCCTTTCCCAGAGAGCTGTCAGGGTTCTGAAGGTTTGTGGAATAGATAAGGAGGAAGCTTTGCGGAAACATTTGGTTGCGTCTATTGAAAGCGTTACTGCTTTGTCTAATAGGTCTGATGACGATGTCAAACGGGGTGTCTTGAAAGACCCATATCCTAAGTACATCGCCAAGGACACATTCAACAGTCGGGGATACAACTTTTCTGGGAAAAGTGCAGACACTTCTTAGCCATTTCGCCCCGGTGCTTTTGGTCACTCCTCATACTTGTTCGTGGGTGTTTGTGCAGCTGGGGCTACATCATGTTTTCGCGTTCCCTTGACTACTGAGGAGCTTAGCGCTACAGACTTGCGAATGTTGCAGGACGTCTGCGGAGATTTCATCAACGGCCACGAGGTGGTTTCCGTTGAGCAGAAAAAATCTTCAGCAAGGGGCCAGTTCAATTCCGTTGAGCAGAAAAAATCTTCAGACTCTTGTCCAAGGGGAATGGCTTTCCGACGAGGTGATGGAGTCGTACTTGGCTTTGCTTGGCAACGTTGCATTGCCTGGGTGTCCCTCTCTTTACATTTTGAGTCCCTTTTTTTATACCAAGCTCGTCGGTGGCGGCTATCGGCATGAAAGGGTTGCGAGATGGACAAAAGATGTGAATATTTTCTCGTACCACATGGTCTGGATTCCTCTCCATAAAAATCGAGTGCATTGGATCCTATTATGTGTCCGAGAACAACGGCTGGAGTACTATGACTCCCTCCTACAAGACGATGCCGGTTTTTCTTCTGATGTGCTTGCGAACTTCACGCAATGTCAAAAAATCAAACTGGATCTCCTGGAGCCCAAGGTCATTGTTCAAGGTGTCTCTCAACGGTCGGACGGGTCGAGCTGCGGTGTTTTCATGCTCGCCTTCGCTTAATTTCTTGCACGCGGCTATCCGCCACCATTTCCAATAGCCCAAAGTGACATTCCAAACATAAGGCTGAGGATTGCGGTGAACATACTCCAAGGCTCGAAATAATACCCCTGTTATTAAAATACGCATAGTTTTTTCTTCGAAAGGCCATAAGCAGAAATGCGAATCTATTCTCACTTGGTCTAGCAGTCGGCGGGTTCGAGCTGTGCTATTGTTTTGATGAGGTACCAGATTGCAGTAGACGTTTTGATCAAGTAAACGCTTAGGTGTCGATGTGAATATCCCAGCCTCGTGCTGTAGCAATTTTTTAAGGGTTCTTCATTTCGAGGAACCTGTCATCTTTACTCGTATGACTTTTGGCAACGCCGTGCTGCCTTTGTTTGTTTCTAGGTTGTTCTCATTGCTTGTCGCGCAACATCAGCTACAGGGTTGCCGCGGACGCTTACGTGAAGTAGAAGCTTAGATGCCGATGTAAATATCCCAACCACGTGGTGCAGTATCTTTTAAGTAGACGCTTACATATCGGATGTGAATATCCCAGCTTTGTGCTCCCTTTGTTTGTTTTCGGGTTATTCTCCTTATGTCCTCTACGATCGCGACAACACTGTGCTGCGTTTGTTCGTTTCCAGGTTGTGCTCCTGTGTTGCTCATGGGACTTCTTTGTCCTCTTGCGGACATTGTTTACACTCATGCTCGTAGGGCTCGATACTCTGGTTCGTTTAGCAAGATATTGGTGAAAGATATCAACGATTTCTTCTTGGTCGCCAAATTATTTCGTGCTTATCTCCTTCTTTCGTGAGACTTTGTGGTGTGAAAGCCCCCCTCCCACCCACCACCCCGACCGCACAGCTTTCACATGTTTTGGTTCGCCCCTGTTCTGCGCGTGCCGCCCCGTTTTACGGTTCACCCCTCTGCTTGTCTCCACTGAATGTTGTCTGTTGGTTCCATATGACAATTGCAAACTTCTTCTCCATTCGGAAACCAATTATCGTCGGAATGTATGTGTGTTTGAAGTTGTTTTACGGATTCAGCGGTTCACTAAATGATTACCAATTTTGTTCTCCCTAAAATACATCTCGTGCTCTCTACAGAATGTTGGTTGTTGTTTCCGTATGAGAAATGCGAACATATTCGCACTTCGGATGCCGTGCATTTGTGATTAAACCGTTCGTGTCCACAAATTTGCCAAAATGATTATTTTTTGTGCTGTCAACGCCAACTTGTTCATGACTGCAAGTTCAGCAAAATGTTCATCAATTGTGCTATTCCCAGCATGTATGTGTGCTTGGCCCATGTGTTTCGACGCTGTTTGACCCAGAAGGATCGATATAAGGCGTTCGTAAAAATGGATGATTTGCTGAAATTGTTACCTTCTGTGTTCTCACTGGAAGACTGATCATTTACGCAAGTTCGCAGAAAAATGATATTTTTTTTACAGGCCTTCTGTCTTTTCGACGAAATGGATAAATCGTGAAAAAGATTGTCATTTGAGTCATGTCTTGCAGAATGTGAAATTGACTCCACGTACTTTGTGATTTTTGGAAAGCCTCCGTGTACTTTGCAATGTGGGATTGCACGATTTTTTGAAATCAATGATTTTTGGAAACGCATCTGTGTACTTTGCAATTTTTCATTGAATGAATTTTTTGCATTGAATGATTTATGTAAACTCTTCGTGTGTTGTGCAACTTCACCTTTGGAAAAACACTAGGCAACTTGAGATGTTTCCATCTCGATGCTTGCGATGACAAAAGATACTTGTATGAATGGATATGTATCTTCTCGTCACAAAGATTTTATGACATTTTCATCCGGAAATATACAAATGACAAGCCAATGTCCATATTAAATCATCGCGCTGATGGAGTGCGCACCTGCTTCGCCATCATAGTGCGAGTTCAATCGCACTTCTGGTGTGAACCCTGAGCCATTCCCTCGCACTTTGCTTCACGTCGAGGAGGGGATCGAACGCACCGCCGGTAAGCACCTGCACATCACGAAGCAAGAGCATGTCCCAGTTGGAATATCGTTGGGTTCTTGAGATGTCGACTCCCATATGTTCACTACACTGAACAGCGGCAGGATGACTGGTCAGCCTCTCCGATGTGGATCTAACAGTGCATTGCGTCAAATCTGCTCTCATAGATCCACACCAGGGATGGGGGCCAGAATCCGACCACAGTTTGCTTGTAAGGCATCATATGATTTGTCGATATAACCGACATCTAGAACTGCTTGGTAAGCATCTAGTGCTATGCCGATAAGTTCCAAACACGGTCGCAAAATCCCCTGCGAATGTTCATTGTCAGTTCCTCACGTCGTCGATTCCCACGTGATGAGTACAGTAAACAACGGCAGGATGGAAGGTCCCCCTCGCCGGAATGGATCTAATGGTGGATTGCGTCAAATCTGCTCTCAAAGATCCACACCGAGTAGAAGGTCCTGGAATCAGCCACAACTTGCTTGTAAGCATCAAATGATATGTCCATACAATCGACATCTAAAACTATTTGGTGAGCATCTAGTGCTATGCCAATAAGTTCTAAACACGACCGCAAGGTCCCCTAAGAATGCCTTTAGCACTAGAGTCCTCTGCTTGGCACTTCGTGAAGGTGGTCATTTCTACCGATGTAGAAGGCTCGTGATCACTTCCATTGCTTGTATACGTGCCGATGTGTGCTCGGCATTGCATACATGTAGTACTGGTCGCTCCCGCTGGTTACGTTACCGTCTCGGATGCATCCCACAGAAGGACTTCACACGCTCGGACATGCAAATTCCCTGGGAGTGTTAATGGCAGTCCGCACCGACAACTGATAACGTGCAGGAAACAAATACACAGCCATCACTGACGACTGCTTGACACTTCTTGAAGGTGGTCTGCCACTTCTTAAAGGTAGTCAGTCACCAAACAGATCACGACCTGACATCAACCTCGCATTAACGTTCCCGTCCGAGTGCAAATGGCAATCCGGGAAGACGACCAATGAGTGTTTGACCACTTCCTTAAGGTGCTCTGTCGAACACCGATAATTGCGAATTGACTCGCTGTTACACTAGAGTCTCTCTCTCTCTCTCTCTCTCTCTCTCTCTCTCTCTCTCTC